ATAATTTTATTCATAATCACATAATTTATAACACAAGTTAAAAGAAACACCTTTTACATAGGCACAGAAAATTTCTGATATTTTGATGTTAAGCTTGCTGACCTTTGCACCTTCTCAGAAATAGTTATCAATTAGTTTACGCTTAGTTCGTTGCTCCTAAATTATCACTTGCATATGCTTCTTCATAGTTTTTAATTCTATAGATTTCTCATATCTCCTGTCAATAAAGTGAGGATTGTTTTCATGTACAATTTGATTTTTTTATAGCAAGAAGTTATGCTTCTTTGTGCATTATAAAGAATGATAAAGAGTTGGGGATAAGAGAAAACTTGAGTGAGATGAGGTGCAAGAGTTTACTTAAAGAGGGAGAACAGGAACACACACATTCACTGCCCTGGACCTCTCTCCCTTCCTTCTCTTTCCCATCCCCAGCAAAACATTTCCTTTTACTGAACCACTGGGTTGGGTTCCACCAGATTTTTTCATCAAAATTTCTTAAAAATAGTCATTCATATCAAAGTAGAGGGAAAAAAGAAAGAATATTTACAGGTAGAATTTTAAACAGACTAATTCACTTTTAAAAGAAAACCTAATTGTAAGGAAGGTTCTGCTTTGGGAGAGGAGGGGCAATCTGAAATTTGTTTAAAAATGAAAATCAAAGTCACCAACAAGGGTTTGCTAAATCTCTCTAGGAGTGTGCTATGGGGCACTTTACTCAAAGTAGCTAATGAGAAAAAGAGTCTCTTAAAATATGGTAGGTTACAGAGACAGGGAAAATTTTTTGAATCTCAATTATTGTTAATCGTCTTTCTTCATTCTTATGGTTAGTTAAGTCTTCAGTAAAATATGCATAGAAAATGTAGAAATATAAAATTAAAGCAATTTTGAGGAAAATATTTGATGAAAATTGTGAGGAGACAGTAGAAAAAAAAATACAAAAGTATGCCTTGGGAACTCCCAAATCTACCAAAATGCCAATTCCAGTCCCACTAGCAAAGGAATGTCTTTCCAGTAAAGGAGTCAGAGTCTCACGCTAAATAATGAAAGTTGCTGCCCCTGACGTAATAATATAAGACTGGTACAAGTCCAAGCATAGGTGAGTTTAACTTATGCAGACTAGATTATTTGAACTTCTAAAACTCTTCAGATATTTTACTGTTTTTGATTTTAAATCCCTTTAAAAATGTTCTGAATGAAAAAATATTTAAAGGAACATATAAAACAAAGGATAATAACTCTGATTAAAGAACTTTGCATTGTAGATATCACCACATAAAATCATAGATTTCTCAACTTTATGATGGTGTGAAAACAATAGGCACTCAGCAGAAACTGTACTTTGCGGACTTACACAACCATTTCATTCTTCACTTTCAGTACAGTATTCGATAATTACATGAGATAGTCAACACTTTATTACAAAATAGGCTTTGCATTAGACAATTTTGCCCAGCTGTAGGCTAACGTAAGTGTTCTGAGCACTTTTAAGGTGTATTAAATGCATTTTTGTCTTAGGATATTTTCGAACTGCGATGAGTTTATGGGAAATGTAACCCCATCATGAGTCGAGGAGCATCTGTATACCGATGCTAATAGAGTATCTGAAAAACTACCACTAGATGGAGACCTAAAGCACGCTTTTGTTAGTAGTATTCGCTCCCTCTCCTAGGAAACATTGCAAAATACTATAAAAATCAGTAGTTTCAATCACTGACATTTTTGAAATTTTATGGAGGTATCCAAATATGTAAAACATTTTCTTTAAATTTTAAATGTTTCCTGCCCATTTGGCCAGTTCACTGTTTTTATAAATGGGAATGATATCCAATAGCAGAGACAGTCTACAAAGAGTACTCTCCCTAGAATTATATTGTTTATAGCAAATAAACATGTTAATATCCCAAATAACCCGGCATCTTTTGTTATAGATTCTCTCATGCTATGACTAATTTTCAAGTAGTTTTTCTTTAGATGCTTCAGAGTGAGATATTTTGTAAATTTTGCCAAAAACTACTCAAGGGACCCTTGTTATACTTAATTTAAATTTTTTGAAAAGGGCAGTCAACAAATAATCATGATAAATAGCCAAGAGTAAACTGTCAAAAGAAGACTTTAAAAACTGTCCACAGAAGGGCTGGTGAGAAGAGTTTTGGGCTGCGGCAAGATAATTGGCTTAAACATTGCCACTGGTGGAAATGAACCATTAAGACACACCGATGCAGGATTTTCCGTGTTATTATAGCAGTCGAGTCATCTTCTCCTATAAATGTAACAACTCCTGTGGTGTCTCAACGTAAAAGCTATTCATAAATCTTCACGTGTTCCAGAGACTTCAAAAGATGTGTGCATTGTCCTAATGATGACATCCAGGCCAGAAGAACCCATGACAGATGCTTCTTGAAAAAAGACATATTTAAGAATATATCCACTTTCCATTTAGATACCCCTTCAGCCATGTAGAACTTCAAAGTAGAAATCACTGTCTGCCTTTACAGACGTGGTATCAAAACACTATTCCTTTCTGTAGGTCTCTCTCCAATTAATCTTTTCTTTTCTTTAAATTGACTTCTTAACATTCTTTTCAGAGTTTCTTAAAGGATATAGAAATGACGCTACTCTGTATTCAAGGATGTAAAATCTAGGTTTGAAATAATAGGTTTAAAACATGTATTATTTAAAAAGATAGATATTAAAATATAAATCAAATGTTAATTAAGATTTGTGATTATTTCTTAGAACTGGTGATGAGACAATCACGGTACAGCAGTGGCATTTACAACATGACTGGCCTCCTGCAGACCTACACACACAATCTCCTTACGCTATTTGGTATATGCAGCTAGAGGGATTGCTGGATCCAAACAAATGATCTGCAAGGGAATTTATCATTTGAATAACTAAACATACGTGAGAAACTAGAAGCAGTGTTGTAATTTGCAGTTACTTGTAAGCTAGATTTTTAGGACAATAAGGACTCATGGAGTTAATTCCTTACTTGGGTTGCTTGTGCTAATCTCACAGTAGTTTACAATTCAGTACTAGTAGAGTGATATTTCAAGCACAGAAGATATGGTTTAGAATGAAAATAATTAGTCCAAGAGCTTTACTTGGGAATATAATGGAAAAGATACAAAGGGTTCATTATTTGTGGGAATACCTAGATTATCCATGAAATACGTTTCTGAAAAGTAGCTTAAAAGATAAAACTTTCTTAGCATATACAGCAAGTCTTCGAATAACATTGTTTCATTTAAGGTCACTTTGTTACAACACTGGTGAGAAAAAAAATATCATTTCCTGGCCGGGGTCCCTGTCTGTGTGGAATTGGCACGTTCTCCCCATATCTGTGTTTTTCTGTGGGTACTCCACCATCCTCCCACATCCCAAAGATCCCAGCGTGAGGGAGTACGGTGTATATGAGTGTGCCCTGCGATGGGATGGTGTCCTGGCCAGGGCTAGTTCCTGCCTGGCACCCTGAGCTGCCAGGAGAGGTTCTGGCCACACTCGACCTTGACTAGCATAAGTGGGGTGCAAAATGAAGAAATGAATGAATACAAATTATTATCAAATAAAAGTTCATCAAGTCTATGATAATCATACAAATGCACAAGGATAGAAGATGCAGTAGGAAAGTGCTCAGCAAGCTGCCACGTCTGTGATTGATTTTGAACTGGGTAGTGGGAGGAGGGGCTTCTCATAGTTTCCACTTTGCAAACATTTATTCTGTGATTTAACCCATCGCCATAACAACTGCTGTCACTCACTGATTCATGAAAAATTGGGTAGATAATTCTCTTGTTTTCATTAATCTTCCTTAAATGTATGTATAGCACACATTTATTTCAATGTTTAATATTAGAAGTGTTTTGAGTCTTCATTTAGAAGTTTGGTGATGTTTTCGTGACCAGGAACATGCTGATGGAACTTAACTCTTGTTTATATCAATTAGCCTATGGTAAAATCGGTTCCGTTACATCATTTCACTTAAAGTTGCAGTTTCTAAGAACCTACAGACGAATTTAAGTGAGGATTTGGAGTAATCTAAAGAATCAGACTGAAGTCCTACTGAAAAATAACAAAAAGAATTTTACACAGAAAAATAGGAACATTTCACAAAATCCAGGAAAACAAATTTTATTGATATACTAAGAAAATATATGTGATTATTAAACAGTCTCGATTCCTCTCCTCTCCCCAACTGGCATATCATTAATGAACTCAGTAAAACTCCGACAGACCAGAGTTAAAAGGACAGGATATGACAGATAACAGATTTGACAGTCGTATTTATCTTTCTTACAGTAAACAATATGGGATTTTCTAATATTTCAGATAATAAAGCTAAGAATATTTACTGTATCAGTTTCCCAAAGAATAACAAATTGTTGATAGTATATGAATGATCTTAGTACATGACATAAAATAGCATTTATTCACAAGGTGAAAAAATCTTTTCAATTATTTCAAATTTGATTGCATCAAAAAAAATCTTAATTGTAGTCTATACCTAATATTTTTTTACTCTTCCTTTTTAAAAAAATAATGAAGGCTTCAGGCTTTGAGATGTGAGAAGGCAATAGAATATAGGGAGAATTCAAAAACAGTGTTTACATTACATTTATTTTCACTTTTCACTTCTGTTTCATAACAAGTAGTACTGGTTTCAGTTTCTAATAGTGAAATTGATTTTCCCATGTAAATGCAGATGTTCAAGTAAAAAAGGGAGTCAGTTTAGGAAAAAAAATCCATTAAGTAAATGGTATAGGTGGCTCAAGTATATGGTAAAAATTTTAAGATAGTACACAAATTTGAGTACACAATTTTGAGAATATTTCTACCACATAATGATTTTTGAATATTTCTCAATGTTGAGATTACATTTTGGTCAAAAATCATCTGACTTCAATTTTTTTCCCATTAGTGTGGTCAAGATAAACCATTTTAACTGATTCTAACATTTGCTTGCTTTGTTGAAACGCCAATGAAGGTTATGACGCAGAGAGAGATGGACTGAACAAGGCTTTCTTCAAGAATGTCAGAAATGACATGATTGAGTGAATACAGCTTCACGCCACCAAGTCGAGGACTCTGAAGCATCACATAAATGTTCTTGGGCAGTGGAGGATGTGCCAGTTCTAAAGGGAGAATGCCACAGAGGCTCTTTGTATGTTCATACAAAGAGTGAAATACTTAGTTGGAATTATAATATTCCCATCTACTGGCTGGAGTCCATCTGAAATATGCACTGGAAACTTCAGCTGCTGTTGCTTTCTTGGGGGTTGCTGAAATTTTTGCTCCATCATAAATCTCCTTGGTGTAACTACCAGAATAACTATAAACACTTCCCTGAATCGATGTCTTTATAACCCTAATGAGATTTATATCTGCGTTTTATGTAAAATATTCCATACTCGAATTTAAATGTCCTTACAGAGGAAGTTGATGTAACCCCTGAAGCCAAAAGAAAAAATGAACTATGTGGGTTTCTTTTCTCTGGGTTTTGGGTCCCTGGTGATATATTACAGATGTCTTGGCCTCACAAGCTAAATGATTGGGGTTTAGAAAATTCCTTTGTTTCTAATATCTCATATTTGAGAATATTACTGTAGTCAAAGCAATGGTGTTATCACCTGATTGGAATTTATCTTTATTAGAAGAAACTGAAATCACTAACTCTGATTACCAAAAGGCTACGTAGGTGGTCCATATAGGTAGCAAATTTAATAACTCAATTCACCTGGCTTTTCCTCTGTTCATTTCTTACTTTCTATAACTGCTGTATTTGCAAATTACAAATAATATAAATGGAAAAGTATATATGGATAAAAAAGTCAAGAAGTATTGGAAGTGACTTTAATTTTTGTCATTAAAATTGATTTATGATTTAGTTAACATATAATCACAATCTAACCATTATTCTTCGACAAATAAAAACATAAAGCAAAATATTACTATGGAAATTGATTTAAATGTTACAAATGTTTGACCATAAAGTTCACTTCAGTGAGAAATTAAATTATTATTTAGTTTTTTGAAATTTATAAAATCCTTTAAACACTAGTTTCCTGAAGAGAATAATCTGACAAAAATTTTTTCTCAGATCTCTATTATAATGCAAGTAAATTCCTTTTAATTAAATATAGCTCTCCTAAAACTTCCTTTGAAAGAAAGTTTAGCTAAAACTGCAGAAAAAGAGTACTGGAAATGTACTTATTTTGCTGGTTGTAAGAATGGGAAACTCAAAGTTAAGTGATATTTATTTGTTTTACTAGTCTTGCAAATGTACAAATGCACTGATTGACTTCAATAAACTTTGTTGAAACATTACATATTTCCACCCTTAGAACACAACTTTTTATGTTAGACACACTAAAAATATAAAAGGTAATAATTTCTTACCATTCCTTTGTTTATCGAGTCTGTTAGTAACAGGCATGTTAGTGGTGACAGTGGGTGGTGTAGTACTAGGAGAGTTTACAGTAGCTGGTAATAAAGATGAGAAAGATGTAATTTTGCAAGGAGCACATGACAGTTAATATGGATAAGCAATCTATAATTAATGCATGAAAATACACAGAGGAGGAATGGAAACCATCTCTTGCTACTAAATACAACAGACTCCAAAGTTATGATGCATAAAATGAAGCAGTAATTTCTATGGCACATTAAGAATCAGTTCACATGGCCTTTGGTGCCATATGGTACAAAGGTCTGGAGCTGGCACAAAGGGACTGGAGAAATGACATTTAGATGCTCGATTCTAGACCTAGGTCTGCCATTAACAGGTTGGCAATCACACAGCAAATTACTAAAACTTTCCTGAATTCAGTTTCTTGAGTTTGTAAAAAGTTACAGAAGGCAGTCTGTACAGACCTATGGCTTGAAAGTTATCTAAACTATGTCAGTCTGCCTGA